CTTGGTTCCACTCTCCTCTCTGCTGGCACTTCCGCTGCTGGAGGCGGAGGGACACCAGAACCGCTGAGTTCCTGCTGATTTGTCAGAAGAAGGAGCAGCCCTGGAAGGCTCTCCTCTGGCTCCCTGTCTCAGCACAGTCTGCCACAGGCCTGGCCCCTCCTGCCCTGGCGTCTGCTTCCTGGTCCAAGCTTCCAGAGTGCAAAGCAGTCCATTCCCATGAAAAAGTACTCTTGCCTTCATTTTATTTTCTTCTGAAAATGCACGGTCCCTCTGCAGTTATTTATTTATTTTTGGCTTTCCTTCATGATGCACATGGAGTAGAATTTGCAACCAAAAGGGAAAAGGGGGCAAAGATTGGGCAGATCTGAGCCTTTTTCCACTATCATCAATTGGGAAGCAGCCTTTAGAAGGCAGCTGTTGGCCAGGCGCGGTAGCTCACACCTGTAATCCCAGCACTTTGGGAGGCTGAGGCGGGCAGATCATGAGGTCAGGAGTTCGAGACCAGTCTGGCCAACATGGTGAAACCCGTCTCTACTAAAAATACAAAAATTGGCTGGGCGTGGTGGTGGGTGGCCTGTCATCCCAGCTACTCGGGAGGCTGAGGCAGGAGAATCACTTGAACCCGGGAGGCAGAGGTTGTGGTGAGCTGAGATGGCACCGCGGCACTCCAGCCTGGGCAACAAGAGCAAGACTCCATCTTAAAAATAAAAAAAAACAGAAGGCAGCGGCTACCAGGTTCAGCCTCCCCTCCCCAGGGCAGGTAAGAAGCAGAGAAAGTTGAGACTTGGACAAGAGAGGGACTGGGAAGAAGTGTTACCATGGGAACCAGATGGGGTCCTTCAGAAGGCCTCCCACACACCTCGTCTTGCACAGAGCTGATTCTGCTTTTGAGGGGCAGGGAGTGAGACCCCTCTGTGTTGAGCTCCAGCCTGAAAATGACCAGAGGCAGGACACCCCCAGAGTGGAGTGGGCCCAGTTCTGGGTGGGCCACCTAAGGCTTAAAGTTGGATGGTTTAAAAAAAAATCATTCACCCCTTTTGCTTGAAAGTAGACTGTTCTGGAAGGTTCTGGAATGTTCTGGAAGGTGCAGTACTCTAGGCCCTTCCTTTTGCCTAAAACCTTCTGGAACTTGCTGCTTCCAGATTCTGGGGGCCCCAGGAATGTTCCTGACTATGATCTTCTGTGAGAGAGAGCAAACTTGAGGGTCTGCATCTGGGGGCTCATGAGAAAGGTCCTACCTATTAGATACCGCCTTGCTTTTACAAAACGAAATCTCCAAATAAAACTCCCACCCCTTTTTGACAAAAACAGAGCTCCCTGTTCCTTGAGAAAGTCTGTTATGTGTACCTCCTCCTTTGCCAATCACTAGCTTCTGCACATTTTCTAACCTTCCCCCTCTTGGTTTCCAAATATGAAACATAGTAACATTAAATGTGCTTTTTTTTTCTCTTAACCAATCAAGGCTCACTGAGCTAAGCAGGCTCCAACCAGTGTGGGCTCAAAGCTTCCCCACTGAATCATGTAGTCCCTGCAAAGCTATGGCTAAGAGCTTGCCCCTGACCTCCAAGGCTACAGAATCGAATGGTTTCTAAGAGACCCAGTTGGACTTGTTGCGGTTTATCCCAGTGTATACAAGGATTTTTACACAAAAGATGGAGTGAAGGAACTGGGGTTACTGTACCAAAAGGCCTCTGGTCGTGTCTAAGAGCTTATCATTGCAATAAGATTTCACTCAACTTCCCTGTATAAAGTGCAGGCTCTTGCAGCAACAGACGATGTAGAAATTTGCAAACTCAAATGCCTCCATGGGTCAGGAAGGTGACACAGAGGTGCCAAGCAGTCCCTTTCCAGCAAGAAGTACCTCCTGTCCCTATTTTTCTGAAATTACGTGGTCCCTTTTTACTTTTCTGCTTTCTCTCTTGATGGATGTGGGGTACAGAAATGTTTTCCTATGGGAAAAATGGTGCCAGTGGACAAAAGGTCTTTACACTTCACCTCTGTTGGAGGAAGAGTAGCAAACTGTGTTGCAGTGTCTCATCTACATGGACACATTTTTCTTTTTTGAGACAGGGTGTTGCTCTGTCGTCCAGGCTGGAGTGCAGTGATGTGATGATAGCTTACTTGCAATCTCAACCTCTGGCCTCAAGCCATCCTCCCACCTCAGCTTCTCAAGTAGCTGGGACTATAGGTGCGTTCCACCATGCCTGGTTAATATTTGTAGAGATGAAGATTTTTTTTTTTTTTTTTGAGATGAAGTCTCACTCTGTTGCCCAAGCTAGAGTGCAATGGCACAATCTCAGCTCACTGCAACCTCCACCTCCCAGGTTCAAGCGATCCTCCTGCCTCAGCCTCCCAAGTAACTGGGACCACAGGTGTGCGCCACCATGCCTGGCTTTCCCTCATCATCTTGCCCATGGGCAGGTGGCAGTATGTGACTTCATCACAGTGCTGAGGAACTGAGAGGAGGAAAGTTCAGGACAGGGCCAACTTTTCTAGCGCACTGAATTCCAGAGTGTGGACTGAGGTAGTACCTCCTCTTACCAGCCGTCCCTCTCTTGGCCTGTTTGCATGGGGTCTGTTGGACTTCCAGGAAACACGACAGTTTGAAACACAGACCTCTCCCATTTCTGAAAAAGGGAGTGTTGGTGGCCACTCTAAGCCAATCGTGACCCATTAGGACAGCTCTGAGGCCTAAGCTAAGCTATTCCTAATCAACTTGGCTCATACAGAGGTGCACCCAATGAATGAAATGCAGGAACCTCAGAAGGAAGTAGGAGGAACCCTACTCCTTCAACTCTGGGATCTGTAAAGGGTCATCTCATCCAGCAATAAATAAAGGGCAACATGGCTGGGCGCAGGGGCTCATGCCCGTATTCCCAGCACTTTGGGCAGGCAGATTGGGATTACTCATACCCGTAATCCCAGTCTGAGGCAGGCAGATTGCAAGGTCAAGAGATTGAGACCATCCTGGCCAACATGGTGAAACCCCCATCTCTACTAAAAATACAAAAATTAGCTTGGTGTAGTGGCGCATGCCTGTGGTCCCAACTACTTGGGAAGCTGAGGCAGGAGAATTGTTTGAACCCATGAGGCAGAGGTTGCAGTGAGTTGAGATAGGGCCACTGCACTCCAGCCTGGCAACAGAGCAAGACTCTGTCTCTAAATAAATGAATAAGTAAATAAAGGGCAACAGAGGGGGGAAAAGCAGTTTGGCCCAGGAGAAACAAGGTCCCAGTGAAGCTCAAAGACGATACAACTGCCCGGACGTGCGCACTTTTGGTTCAGGACCCATGCCTGCTGCCTACCTGCCTCCCCACCCCACTGAGCACAGCCTGGCCCCTTTACCCTGCTCTCCCATCCTAGGTCCAAACTTCTAGGGAGTTCTGTTTTAGTTTGTGAAAAACAAAGAAAAAGGACTAATGCTGGGCACGTCTGAGCCATCGTCCACGACCGGGAATCGAGGAATAGCCCCTAGAAGGCAGGGGCTGAGGTCGTAGCCCAGTCTGGTCTCTACTTGCAGGGAAGCAGCAGAGAAAGGGAGGACTCAAGCCGATCTGAGTGAGTGGGAGAGCACTGTTTCCATGGAAACCTGTTGGGGGTCCTTCAAAAAGCCTTCCACCCACTGCCCTTCCCATGAAGAGCAAAGGCACAGTTTCAGGGCCGGCAGGGAGAGGTGAGGTCTGGCCCACAAAACCCTGAGGCACCCGGGAATGGACTTATGAATGGAGTGGGCCTTGTTCTGGGCCATGGGAGAGGCTGAGGGTTAGTAAACCTTACACGATACTTTGCTTACAGTTCCATGGAATGCCCTGTAAGTTTATTTCAGTCTGGACGCACCCCCAGTCTGAAACCTTCTGGAACTTTCTGTCTACTCCAGATTCTGGGGCCTGTAGGGAATGCTCTTGGCTGGGATCTGCAGTGGGAAAACAAACTTATATCTCAAGGAGCCTATGCTGGTATACTGCTAGTGCTTTACAAGCCCACACCGAAAGGACACCTCTTTGGTTTTTTTTTCTTTGAGACAGAGTCTTGCTCCGTTGCCCAGGCTGGAGTGCAATGGTGCGATTTCAGTTCACTGGAACCTCCACCTCCTGAGTTCAAGCAGTTCTCCTGCCTCAGCTTCCCAACCAAGTAGCTGAGATTATAGGCACATGCCACCAAGACTGTCTTAATTTTTATACTTTTAGTAGAGAGGAGGTTTCACCATGTTGGCCAGGCTGGTCTTAAACTCCTGACCTCAGGTGATCCACCCTCATGAGCCTGAAGTACTGGGATTCCAGGCGTGAGCCACCATGCCCGACCCACCATGCCCGACCACCCACGCCCGACCACACCCAACCTCTTTCCATAGAAACAAAACGCCCTTGCCCCCCTTCAGAACATTTTGCTACACTCCACTTCCAGCAGTTTGTTTTTCCAGAAAAGACTCTGTCCTGTTTTCCAAATATGAAACATAGTAACATTAAATGTTCTTTTAAAAAGTACACCTCCCCTCCCCCCAAGTCCAGGCTGACTGAACCAGACAAGTCTGAACCAGACTGGGCTCAAATCTCTTTGTTTTCTTTTTTTTTGTTGCCCAGGCTGGAATGCAGCAGCGGGATGGCACCTCACTGCAACCTCAGCCTCCCAGGCTCAAGCCATCTTCCCACCTTAGCCTCCCGAGTAGCTGGGACTAACTACCACACCTAGCATTTGCCACCGCACCTGGCTAATTTTTGTAGAGGTGGGATTTTGCCGTGTTGCCCAGGCTGGTCTCCCTACTTCCGAGGTCAAGCGATTCATCTGCCTCGGCCTCCCAGTGTTTAGATGACAGGCGTGAGCCACTGTGCCAGGCCCCTGATCTTCATTACTGAATCATATGGTCACTGCAAAGCCCTGACTAGGAGTATACCCCCACTCTCCAAGGCAAGAGACAATCAAATATATATATATATATATATATATATATTTTTTTTTTTTTCTTCTTTCAGGATAGAATGATGGAATGGTTTTCAAGAGGCTAAGCAGGACCAGCTGTGGGTTTATCCCATTTTACATAAGGATTTTACACAACACATTGAGTACAGGGATTGCACGCAATTATGGCCCTCAGTAGTACATCAAACCACTCCTGGCTTTGTTTAGACCCTAGACTTGGGCCCTCATCCATCTCGTAGACCTCTTTCGAGGATTTTCCCTTTTTACAGATTTACACTCAGTCCTGTGCGTAAACACTCGAGCACCTACAATCTCACCGCCAGCTCACTGCCAATGTCCAGTGACTCACAGTTCAGAGTGCTCAGCAGCAGCTCTGACCAAACGATGAGCAACTAGTTAACATGAAACAGAGGGAAAGAAACCACGCCTTTAGTCAGCTCTGCATAAAGAACCAAGTCGCCACCTTGAACAGCAAGGCCCCCATCCCTCCGTAGTCCTGTCTACTCCCAAAGTCCCAAAGTTTACCCCAGCATCAAGCAGCCTTGTTTCAAAGGTTCACGCAGGGCCTGTGATAAGCACTGCAAGTTAAACAGCAGCAGGAGACTCAAGCACGGAGTCTGGCATTCCATTTCTGGGAGGGGCTGGGCTGCACAGTGTGCAATGGGGTTGGCTGGTAAAAGGAGGGCCAGGTGACAGCCACGCTGTCCCAAGGATGAACGCGGCCCTGCTGGCATCATGCTATAATCCCCACAGATTAGAACAATGGATAATAGGCTAGGCAAGGTGGCTCACACCCGAAATCCCAGCACTTTGGGAAGCTGAAGCGGGCAGATTGCCTGAGGTCAGGAGTTGAAGACCATCCTAGCCAACATGGTGAAATCCCCGCTCTACTAAAAATCCAAAAACTAGCTCGATATGTTGGCAGGCACCTGTAATCCCAGCTACTCAGGAGGCTGAGGCAGGAGAATAGCTTGAACCCAGGAGGCAGAGGTTGCAGTGAGCCGAGATTGCACCACCGCACTCCATCCGGGGCAACAGAGCGAGACCCCTTCTGAAAAACAAAAACAAACAAAACAATGTCAAATGATTCTCTCCTCTGCTGTCAGGCTCACAGAGTAACTTCTCCAAGGTCACACATTAATACGGGCCCAGGAACACTCATTCCTTATGCTCAGTGACCTTGTTTCCTCACTCCCACATGCTATCAACAGAAAGGGGAGTGCCCCAGGGGGCTGACTTTAGAGGGAGGAATGGCAGGCTGTCCACAGACCCCATTCTTACCCTGGACCAGGTCTCACCTGCCACTTGGGGAACTCACAGAAAGACAAGTTTGGTACAACCCCAGACCTTTTCTTTTGGCAGCCAACAAATGGTCACATTGCACATTTCAAGGTTACAGAGGAGCCCCACCGTACACACGCGGGGCAGGAGCAGATAAATCCTGCCCGAGGCTTTACAATCAAGCTACAGCGAGTGTTACAGAAGTTAGCCACATCTGGAAGCAGGAAGGCAACTTCTGGAAGAAGCACCCTGGAGACTCCAGGGACCCCTCACTCGTGAGCTCTCGGGACTCTTTAGCGTGGGGCCTCTTTCTCAGGCATATGAGGCCTCCTTTTCTGGACCATAGGGAAGGGATGTGCAGGTCATCGGCTATGTTGGGTGGGTCCGGGAGGGGAGGGGGAGCACAGTTCCTTCGGATCCCAGCTGAGGTAGGCTATCAATGGCCAAGAATTCTGGGGCAGGAAAAAAGGCCGTTTTCTGGGGGCTGGCTGGGGACGCTCCCCTTCCTTCCTCTCTCCCGCTAAATATAAAAGCCAACGATGACAATGGTGATGAAGATTCCGAAGAGGAAGAAAACGACACCCGTGTCTCGGATGTCCTCCCAGGGACGGCTGGTCAGGGCCAGAGATTCCCGTCGCTTGCGAAGAGCCTCCCGCCGGGCCCTCAGGCGCCGTTCCCGCTCCAGCTGTTCCCCGTAGTGGGCCTGGTAGAAGGCGTCAAAGTTGAACTTCGTGCGGTTGGCGTCGGGGGCGGTCCAAGAACCGCTGTGGGTCCGAGAGGTGGGCGGCGGGGGACGCGGCGAGCCGGAGTCGGCTGCGGGCGTCCTGGAGGGCCGGACGCCGGGTCCGCGCAGGTCCTCGTCGCTGAGCAGGCCGCGATCATACTTGCGACGGAGGGTGGCACTGCCCAGAACCACGTAGGCCTCGGAGATGCGGGTGAAGCGCTCGGCAGCCTTGGCGTTGCCGGAGTTGCGGTCCGGGTGGTAGAGAAAGCACTGACGGTAGTAAGCCGCCTTGATTTGGGCCTGCGTGGCTGTGGAGGGGACGCCAAGGAGATCATATAGCGCTGTGCGCGAGTACGAAGAGTCGCCCCGGGAATAAAGCCTCGCTCCTAGGCCCGGGCCGGGTGCAGAACGTTGTGGAAAGCCACGGGCCTGTAGCAACCTCCACGTTAACAGTCGTGGAAACAACAACCCACACTTGGCTGCCATCTTGAATTGATTCGGCAGGCGGGGCAAGAGAAACTGGCCAATGGGAGGCGCCGGTTGGTCGCCCTGTAGCCAATCAGGTAAAGAGGAGGGCGAAAGAGGGGGTGGCGCATGCGTATTATTAGGCGGGCGCCGGCTGATGACATAAAAGCCGCGCTCGCTCCGGGAAACGCCAGTTGCAGGCGTGCCGCTGAGGAGTGAGGATGGCGTCTGGTGGCCAGCGTCCGGAGCACGGCGGCCCCCCGGAGCTGGTAAGTTCTAGGGTCAGCGGGCACCCGTCTCCCCATTTCTACGGCCGCGGCGTCTGAATTCCTTCTCCACCTGCCATTTCTTTTTCTCTTTTTCCCAGTTTTATGACAAGAAAGAAGCCCGGAAATACGTTTCCAAGTGAGGGGAGCCCCGGAGTACTGCGCGGCGTCCGGGGGTCGGGAAGCGGCAAGTTGCCCGGGTTGCGGGCGTTGCTCGGAAAGCCCGTAGAATTTGGGGGTGCGGGGAAGGAAGGACCCGGGTGGGTGCCATTTCGGTCTTTGGTAAATCACCTTTAAATTACCGACGTCTCTGGGCCTCGGTGCCTCAGTGTTGAGGTAGAGGGGATCGCGCCTGCTTTCCGTGGGTGGTTTTCAAAGTCGAGTGTGTGACAGCTTGTCCTAAGCATGTGGGCGGTGGGTCCTGGCGAGGGGTCAGTCCTAGTGGGGGGGAAGGAAGTAATGTCCGTAGGGTGCTTATCCCGGCGCCTTGTTTGCCAGTAAGTCTCCACGACGGCCGTCGGTGTGGTACTGTCTGAATTTCCTAGAGGGTGGTTTGTGCAACTACAGACTTGAGGTCAGGTGGGATGGCCCACGCCTGTAATCCCAGCAGTCCCAGGGCTTTGGGAGGGTGAGGCCTCCCGGGAGGATTGCTTCCGCTGGGGTTTGAGACCAGGCTGGGCAACGCAGCAAGACCCCCCCCCCACACCCCATCTCCGCAAAAAATAAATCAGTCGGGTGTCGGTGGCCCCCCCCCCAGCCTCCCCAGTAGCTGGGACCACAGGCCCCCGCCGCCACTCGTGGCTGCTTCCTATGATTTTTTGAGATGGAGTTTCGCTCTTGTTACCCAGGCTGGAGTGCAATGGCAAGATCTCGGCTCACCGCGACCTCCACCCCCCAGGTTCAAGCGATTCTCCTGCTTCAGCCTCCTGAGTAGCTGAGATAACAGGCACACGCCATCATGCCCGGCTATTTTTGTATTTTTAGTAGAGACAGGATTTCTCCATGTTGGTCAGGCTGGTCTCAAACTCCTGACCTCAGGTGAATCCGCCCGCCGCGGCCTCCCAAAGTACTGGGATTGTAGGCGTGAGCCGCAGCACCCGGCCTATTTTATTTTTTAAATTAAAACGGGGTCTCTCATTCTTCGCCACTTCGAGTGCAGTGGCAAGATATCAGCTCGCTGCAAACCTCCGTCTCCCAGGTTCAAGTGATTCTCCTGCCTCAGCCTCCCTAGTAGCCGGAACTAAAGGTTCATGCCGCCACACCTGGCTAATTTTTTGTATTTTTAGTAGGGACAGGGTTTCGCCGTGTTAGCCAGGATGATCTGAATCTTCTGACCTCATGATCCACCCAATTATTTTTAATTTTTGTAGTGACAGAGTCTCCCTGTGTTGCCCAACGTGGTTCAACCTCAGGGCTGAAAAATTCTCTCGAGCTTCAGTCTCCTGAGCTGTTGGGATTGCAAGCGTGAGCCACGGCACCTCGTCTCAAAAAAAAAAAAAAAAAAAAAAAAAAAAGTTTGGGGGGCGGGTGTGGTGGTTCACACCTATAATCCTAGCACTTTGAGAGGCCTAGGTGGGCAGATCACGAGGTAAGGAGTTCGAGACCAGCATTGCCAACATGACGAAACCTTGTCTCTATTAAAAATACAAAACTAGCCGGGCATGATGGCGGGCATCTGTAATCCCAGCTATTCCGGGGGCTGAGGCAGGAGAATTGATTGAACCCGGGAGGGGAGGTTGCACTGAGCTAAGATCTAGCTACTGCACTTCAGCCTGGCAACAGAGCGAGCCTCCATCTCAAAAAAAAAAAGATTTTGCGGTTTTTCCATACTCTTATCACTGAGAGACTAGCCCTATTTCAATAAGTGGCTATTGGTCGGGCGCAGTGGCTCACCCCCGTACTCCCAGCACGTTGAGAGGCAGAGGCAGGCAGATCATCTGAGGTCAGAAATTCCGAGACCAATCAGGCCAACACGGGGAAACCCCGTCTCAACAAAAAATACAAAAATTAACCGCGCGTGGTGGCAGGCGCCTGGCGCATATAGTCCCAGCTACTCCGGAGGCTGAGGTAGCAGAATCACTTGAGCGCGGAGGCGGGGGTTGAGGTGAGCTCAGATCAGATCGCGCCTGTTGCACTCCAGCCTGGGCAACGGAGTGAGACCCTGCTTCAATAAATAGCTATTGGATAACTTTTCTTTCTTTAGGGACAGGGTCTCTCTGTCAGCCAGGCTGGAATGCCATGGCGTGATCCCTAACGACTGCAGCCTCAAGCCGTTCTCCTGAGTAGCTGGAACTAGAGGCACTGGTCACCACAAGGCCGGGATAATCTTGATAATTTTTTTTGTACGAGGCGGGTCTGATTCTTTTGCCCAGGCTGGAGTGCTGCAGTGCTAAAGCCTTACCTCCTGAGTAGTTGGAACTACAGGCTGCCACCATGCTCTCCGCTAGCTTGGGTGATTTTTTTTAGAGGGGGTTTGGCTATGTTGCCCAGGGATCTGGTAAGTTGCTCACGGGATCCGGCTGCCTAGGCCTCCCAAAGTACTGGGATTACAGGTGTGAACCACCAGGCACGGTCGTTACTGATGACTTTCTGTGTCGATTATATGTTGACGTGGTATTTGGAAAGTGATGGGTTGAAGAAAATAGGTTATTAAATATATGGGGTTAACAATATGACTCCAGTTTATTTTACCTGTTTCTTTGCATTTCTTTTTGACTGGCTATTGGAAAGCCATATGTGGCTTGCATTCTCTTCTCATGGCCAGCGCTGCTGTAGGTTTCTGTGGATTGTTGATTCTTTTGATGAGAAACTGGAGAATAATTCTTGCAGAAAATGTTTTCAACAAGTGCTAGAGCAGCAGAGCCTAATAGAGTTGCAGATACCCAATCTTTATTAGCTAAGTGATTTGCTTTTACACATCAGCTTGGCAGCTAGTACAGTGATAATTTTTTATCACAAAATAACGTCCTGAATTACGTGGAATTTTGGGGTTACTTTTAAATAGTTGAATTTGTCAATCTGAACTTAGAAGGAGTCAGAAAAGGGTATCTCGGAATGATTGATCCGTTTTTTTTTTAACTTGGCCTTTTTTTTTCTTTTTTTTTTTTTTGTCTGGGTGAGGTATTCACCCAGAACTCCTTTTCCATGTGCACTTGTGTTTCTGCCTTCCTAGCTCCCGGATGATTGAGATCCAGACCCGGATGGCTGGGCGAGCACTGGAGCTTCTCTGTCTGCCACGGAATAAGCCCTGTTACCTGCTGGATATTGGGTGAGACTCTGGGGCCTGGTTCAGATTGTCTAAGATGGTGAAGTCAGTCTTTGCAGACTGACCCTGGGTCTTGATCCTGTCTTCCAGCTGTGGCACTGGGCTGAGTGGAGGTTACCTCTCTAATGAAGGGCACTGTTGGGTGGGCCTGGATATCAGCCCTGCCATGCTGGGTAAGTATGTCCTGTCCAGCACCAGGGTGTATTAACCTGATGGGTGTAGAGAAGCCATGGGTATTCTGTCTCTCTGACTGCCTTTTTTCTGATGTAGATGAGGCCGTGGACCGAGAGGTAGAGGGAGACCTGCTTCTGGGGGACATGGGCCAGGGCATCCCTTTCAAGCCGGGCACATTCGATGGTTGCATCAGGTGAGGGTATTCACTTCCTGCTTTTATTTGTTTAGAGACAGGGTCTCACTCTGTCACTTAGGCTGTAGAGCACTGTCTGTGATTATGGCTCACACTGCAGCCTCTACCTCCTGGGTTCAGGTGATCCGCTCACCTCAGCCTCCTGAGTATCTGGGACTACAACTGCTCATACCTAGCTAATTTTTCTTGTATTTGTTGTAGAGACGGGTTTTTGCCATGTTGTCCAGGTGAGCTACCTGCTTGGGCCTCCTAAAATGCTGGGATTACAGGCATCAGCCATCCCAGCCACTTCCTGCTTTTAGTCCTGTGGCCCAGTGCCTCCCAAACCTGGCTGTGCAGCAGAGTCATGCAGGATATTTACAGATACATCCCATGGGATTTTCAGATTTACAAGGTCAGAGTAAGGCCGAAGAGTGCATTCTTTTTGTATTCTAAAACTTGATAGCCTGGTCAACACGGTGAAATCCTGTCTCTACTAAAAGCCAGGCTTGGTGATGAGCACCTGTAGTCCCAGCTAGCTACCCAGGAGGCTGAGACAGGAGAATTGCTTGAACCCAGGAAGTGGAGGTTTTAGTGAGCCAAGACCTTGCACTTCCATTATGGGTGACAGGGCAAGACTCCATCTCAAAAATAAAACTTGTCTACTGTTGTGGTTATTTTGCATTGCCGGGTTCAGGCATCACGGGTACACATTCTCTGTGGGCTTTGTGTGTCTCGTGGGGGAGGGGAGGTGGTCTTTGAGCCTCTGGCAGCCATTTTGTGGGCCTCATTAGCCATCTTGAGGCCCCAGTAGCCAGGCATCTTATTTCATTTGCCAACAAAGAACGGTGGTGAAGAGGCTGGGCTTGCTCCATCTCTTCAGTGCTCCACAGTCCTTTCTCCATAATCAGGGTCGGGTTGAGCATCTACATAGCACTTCGGGAACAGATCTTAGAATGTTGATCTGTGTGTGTAAGTAGTCTAAAGCTTGTTTCCTTGGATTGGTGGAAGGGAACAATGAGTGTGTGTGCAGACAGTGTTGACACAGGGACAGTTTTCAACTTGAGATGCAGATGGAAACAAGGTTGAGAAAAGGTTTCTTGGGACCGACTGAGGGACATAAATGCAGTCCTTCTGTATGTCCTATTTTTCAGTGTTAACAGAGTCATGACTTGCAGTGAACCTGCCCTTTTTGTCTTTGTCTTAAAATTTTCAAATTTAAAA